ACTATAAATGTCCTTTTGTTCTTTATCTTATAAGTAAAGGGAAGAATTTTTTTCTTTTTTTCAGCATCTTGAAAGCAGAATTACCATGAATTTTATTAATTTAAATCTTCCCCCTTAGGCAAGATTTTTTCTATACAAGTATGCAAAGCTATATGTGTATTTACACATATATACACCTGTGTGTGGGCATATATACATAATCTAAAATACAGAACAAAGTATTTCACCTTTTGTTTTGTTTTTGCTTCTTTGTCTACACGTCACCCTTCTCATTTTCATTTTCACTCAGAAAAAGAACATTTTGGCTAAAATCAACTGAACACTATTAGGATCAGCAGTTCTCCCATAGTGATTCATACAAAGTCATCTTAATAGTGCCTTCCAAGTTGCTATCATGCTGAAGGTCAATGTTTACACAATGCTGGTGTTCACAGGTATGTGAGACAAGCTAATCCTAGAGCTATTTTAAGTGGTTGCTAATGCTCTGTAGGATGTATTGCCACCTTGAAATTGCTATGATCTATTTTATCACTAGTGTCTTTATGGCACACTACTTCTGCACATGTAGAAAATTTAAGATCTTTTTACAAATGCTAGTGCTTCAGAAAGAACTTGTTATAGGATAGGATGTAAATCATACATACCAAGTGAGCAAATTAGTCCTTTCTGTTTTATATCATGATATTACCAGAGTTTGGTAAGAGTATCTTGATACATAGAAAATATTCAATAAATAAATGCTGAACAAAAAATAATGAATGAAGATAATTCATTGGTTAAAATGCATTATTTCACATTACTGGCGTCTTTCAGCAAATACCAAGGTCACAATAGGCACTTATCCTAGAATCTATTTCATGGAGTAAAAAATCAGGTATCACTGCACTGTCATTGGGAGTCATGTGGTAAGATGATCTGAGTGGTCATTTTTAATTTGCCTAAGACACAATCTTATGCATTCTGAGCATAACTCTAATCTAGCATTAATTTTCTTTCTTTTTTTAAAATACTTTTAAAAATTTTTTAGAAGAAGCATTTCATTACAGCTTTAACATCCTCAATAACAGTTTCTAGAGCAAAGATATATTTATTTCAAAAGTGGTTATAAAATTTTTAGGTTTGCTGTTGAATCAACACAGTTTAAACTAACTTATGTTTCAACTAAAACTGATACAAATGTGCTCCTTCTTGCTAATAGCTCTGTAATAGTAAAATTTTACAGTGCTAGATACTATCTGTGACTTTTATTAGAATGATCCGTTGAAGAAATTCCCTACAGGAAAGTCAAGAAAAATAGATTTGGATTAATGAATGTAGCAGGCATATTGTGCTTACATTTTTGTGTGTGTGTGTGTGTGTGTGTGTGTGTGTGTTTCTTTTCCTAGGTATGCTGTTTTAGAACATTTAAGCTACAATTCATCTGCTAAGATAAAATATTTCATTGTAGCATGAATAACTTCTGCTTTCATACACTGGTGAATTCATTTTCTATAAGTACTTGTAACTAGAGAAGAAAGATCTCATTGTGCTGATATGGTTTGAATATGGTTTGAGTGTGTCACTAAGGATTTTCCATTGAAATATAATCCCCATTGTGAAGCAGTTGGAGGATGGAAATTTAATCTGACTACAATGGTGAGATGTGGGGCTTTGGAGGTGATTAGGATCACATGAGGTGAGAGAGAGAGAGAGAGAGAGAGAGAGAGAGAGAGAGAGACAGAGAGAGAGAAACAGAGAGAGAGAAACAGAGAGAGAGAGAAACAGAGAAAGAGAAACAGAGAGAGAGAGCATTTACTATACACGTGTGAGTCTGCCAATGATAAAGTCATCACCAGATTCCCAGATTCCAGCTTTTAATTTCTTTACAGTTACTCAACTTCAGGTAGTTCATTATAGTAACCAAAGTACTATTACAGAGTCCCATTAGAGCCTAATTTCCAAATTAGATCTGGAATGCTAACATTTGCTTAGAGATTTTAAGGTCTTAGCTTGGTAATTTTGGTTGACATTTTATATGGGTTCCCCAAAACAAATGCAAGACGCCAAAAATCCTTCCATGGAGACCACCAACCTAGAGTTTGCTTACAACTCCATTCCAATAGAAGTAAATAATTCTGTTAAGATCTGTAGTTTCCCTTGGAGCTCATACTTCTCATATGCTTCTGGTTTATGTAACCACCCATGTTACTAGAAATAGTCAAATACAAGGTAAAAATACCCAGAAGTGATGAGAATTTTAGTCATAATAGAATCATGATATTTTTAGGCACTTGTCAAAATTCAGCTGGCAAATGCAGAATTTTAACATGGTAAACCTCACAGAGTGGTACTATGGTTATCATAGCAAATCAGGCTCCTAGGAAAATGTTTACATTAACTTTTCACTGCTATCAAATTTTGTATTGCTATCTAAAATTTTGCATTAAACTTGGAAATATATTCTGTATTACATTTCACAGTAGATTTGTCTACCTAAGTGGAAACGCTAGGTGAATAGATCAGTGAACTTGTGTCTTTTATGTTTTATTTTTTTTCCTGTGGTTTAGTTTAGTAAGAAAACCATCAAATAATCACACATAAAATTTAAACCATTAAAAGATCTCTATTTTTTCCTACAAATAGAGCATTTCTATCTTTGCTAATGTGTTTATTAATGAGCCATGGGGAAAATACCTTCACATGATTTCTCTGAGTTTCTTATGGTATTTCTATTACAGTGAAATGGCACTTTAATGTGAAATATTTATTACAAGCTATTGGAATATTCCTTTTTTCATACAAATATTTAAGACAATATTTCCATGATTTACTTACAAATGATTAGTTTCTTTTATCTAATTTGCATTCTTTAGAATAAAGAAAGAAAATTATCTATAATTTTATTGCTTCACCAAATTTAATGATCTAAAATAATTTCACTCTTCCAGTGCTATAAGCCTCTAAATTTTGCATGAAATAAATACATTCACTCCTAAACAGATGAGCTGGTACACCACTGGCCTCAGGATGCACACAGCAAGAGAAATCTAGAATAATATCAAGGGTCTGCTCTCATCGCTCACTTTATTGTGATCCTTTGGCATAGTTGTGGTCAGTTTCGTCTGTAGGTCCCATCTGATAGAGGCTGTAAAAGCATACTCAGTCAGTCCTTTCCTTCTTCAACTCTATCATACAGCTAAGATATGGTGTGCCAGAACTGTGCCATGACTTCACCAGAGTGGGGCTTTGAACCCTTGTCCCTAAACGTATATTTCCTCATTGCTCATCGCCCTGTAGTTATAAAGGATCATTGTCGCTAAACATCATTTCATTTCTTATCACAAAATAAGAAATCATTGGCCAAATCTCCCTATGATTTGCAGTATATCATCTATCAAACTCTTTCTTGACTTTTTTATATAATTGAACAATTTTACAGAATCAAAACTACCTCCTTTCTCTAAGACAAACTACATTCATGTTTTCTATGCACCTTAGCTTTTTTAGATACCTACTCAAGTAAATACGTAATTGTAGTAAAGCGGATGCACAGGATAATACATTTACAAAAGGTTCTAGACATGGTTTTCAAAGCTTCCTATCTGACAGCTCTGTATGTTATCTGATTGCAAACTGTTGTCTTCCAGGTCAGGTTAATGGATACCTGCTTGGATAGGAGTCCAGCATAGTAATTATTTCCCCCACTGAGGACAAAAGTGAAAGGAGCCTGGGGAGATGTATCAGACTTGTGCAGCGCATTGATGAATGGCATGTAACATCGCAGGCCCTTCATAGGACACTGGGCAAACAAAGGCGCTTACGTTGCGCTTCAGTTGATGGCTATTGACAAAGGTTGTTTTAATCCCATGCCATTGCCTTAAGTACACTTAACTTGACATTGTTTAATATTCTTTCTTTTTACTAGTATGATTTTCAACTGATTGAGTGCCTATAATTACAAATGAACTTAAGGATAAGCAAAAATTTTTCTCACATAAAATTTATATAGGAAACAAATGACTACAGCATTTCTGTAATTAAGAGGTCATTTTAAAGTAAGGAGTTTTAATTTATTTATTTTTATTATTCCTTTATTTATGTCTCCCCATGCACAGTACAGAGCAGGCACAGTGGCCTGGGCTGAGGTATACATGGGTCAGGTTTGCTCAGCCTCCTTTTTCTATACAGTCAGTGTAAGAAAACAGCCTGTGATAAGCACTAGGAGGCTGAGTTCTTAAATGTTTAAACTGTAAGACATTTGCCATAATGCTAACTAAAAAGCATAGTTATCTGTTTTCTTATTTTTGAATGATGTAGACTTATGTCATGTGCTAGGTTGAAAAGATGAATTGCAGACAAATACGAGCAGGGTATATAAGCAGAGGAATTTCTGTTTAACTCTTAACATTATCATGTTTTATATCTTTAGAGTTCATGTGAAAAAAGCTATGCTCAACTTAAAGAAGTTATCTACTTATTTTGCTTTTAATACATATTTTTATTACATGTTTATGTATTCCATACAAAACATCTTAATCATCTTTACACTCCTTTCCCAAGTCCCACAGCCCCCTATTCCACCAGATTTCATGCATTCTGTCAAATATGTTAAGGGCTATTGAGTCAAATTTGTGTACCCAGATGTCCCTTGATACAAGTACATCCACTGGAGCCTGGTTAGTCTAGCAAGAGTCTCTCCCTTAAAGAAGATCAACTCTCTCTCAGCCATCAATAATCAATTACCAATTGTTCTTCAGCTAAGGTTGAATTCTACTGTCCATTTCCCCATTTCTACGCTGTTTTTGTCTGCTTGAGTCTGCGTGGGTCTTGTGCATGGTGACACCATTGTTATAAGTTCACATGAGCAAGTTCGGAAGAAGGAGCTCAAGAGAAGGGGAGTGTAGAAGACAGGTACTATAAAGGGGAAGGTGGAGGTACTTTAACTGGAGAAGGAGGAGGGAGATTAGACAGGGGGAGAGAGTGGAGAGATAAATAAAGCTTAGTAGTGTGAGAAACCAGAGATAAGTGTATCTACTTATTTTCAGATATTCATATTCTCATACCTCAAATAATATTCATACTAAAAAAGTTAAGTGTTATGTCAATATTTGAAATTAAAATTAATTTTGTTCTTTGGCTCTAGTTAAAATGTTTGAGACATGCTGTTCCTAATACCCTCCTAACCTTCCTTCTGGGCCCCTGATCTTTTAATGATAGTGTCTTAACTTCTAGAGACTTACACTTACCTCTTGAGTCATGCACCACTGCTGACCAACATTATTTTCTTAAGGTCACCAGGTAAAAAACAACCATTTTTCCTCTTCTAAATAGTTCTATTCTTAAAAGTAGAACAGTATTTCAGACACTTTTCCTATATTTTTCTCATTGGCATTTTTGTATTCCTTGTAAGATGCACTGTTCTCTCAGTTTGGGTCTATCTTATAGAGTCAAATGAATTCATCAGATACCCTTAAATTATGGTTCACAGAATGCCAATAATTTCCTGACACCTACAATTTATTTTCTTGTACACACACATAAAAATATAAACAGGAGCCTAGAGAGATGGCTCCATGGTTAAAAGTACTGACTGCTCTTGCAGAAGACCTGGGTTCGACTCCCAGCACCCACATGGTGGCTATGAACGGACCTTAACTCCAGTTCCAGGGTAATCTAAAGCCCTCTTCTGACCTTGCAGCATTCACGACACAGGTGCACTCACATGCATGTAGGCAATACATTCATACACATAAAATAAAAATAATGAAATATTTTAAAAATATATAGACAGACAGACACACACACACACACACACACACACACATACACACTATAACAGCTGCAAATAAACTCCTAAATTTAAATAAGTCTTAAGGTTGACATCCAAAGTCCTCCCTACTTGGTCTCCAATCTTATCTCACCAGGTATAACTGAGCTATTCCCCCAAACAAACCCCTGGCTTCACCTATACAATCGACCCTCTGAACTCTCATCTTGCCAACCACATTCTCGATTCTGCCCCAGTCCTTTACTATGTTTTATTTTTGGACGGTTTTTAGCTACGAAAATTTAATTTATGTTGCAGTGTTCATTTCTTGGTCTGGCTTTAGGCTATTTGGATTCATAAACAAACCCTAATCAGAAAAATCTAAGTTGAAATAACTTGACAAAAGAATGAGTAATTTTAGTAATTTAAAACAGTAAGAGTTTGTCTCACTCTTGTTAAGTGTCCATAACAAGTTGGCTGAAGACTGTCACATCTTTCATTCACAGATATATGCAGACTGATAGAAACCCCATTCTCTGTTGTGGAGCAGATGGAAGAAAATTTGGAGGCATCCATTATTAAAATGGCCACAGTCGGCTTTGAAGAGTATTGGGAAATGAATTGAATGATGAGGGCGGGGCAAGAAATTCTTTAGAAAACTGATAAAATCTCTCACAAGTAAGACAGTACTTGCTAAGCCATATTGTCTCATCTTTACCATGCAACAATCGGATCTACTTTGAAGGATTTTTTCCTGTATAATACTCTGGAACTGTGAATGTGTTTTTAGTTACTGGGCAACCTTCTTTCAGATTTCAACACTGTGAACACACAGTGGCAGACTATTTCCCCCAGAAACCGCAGATTAACACAAGTCTGTTTGGTAGTTTATTTTTGGGGAGTCATTCTAGAGAACAGCAATGAGGAAATGGGAAAATGTGAAATTGGAAAGAGAAAGGTCCAGCCTGAACGAGATGTGCTAACAGGCATGTCATTACTTGAATCCCTGAGTCTGAGCACCACAGAGATTCTGAGAATTGTCACTTGCAGGACAGAAGAGGTGATCATTTGTCCACAGGTTTCTGTGCTTGTGGAGCAATGACTGCTTCCTGTTTCCTCCCATTGGGCTGTCATAGCCCTCATGCCAGAAAAGCTTAAGGAAGAAAAGAAAGAACGATTTTCATGGGTGGTGGTAAGAACATCAGGGATGGCATATGAGAAGTGTCTGATACAATAACCATTTTGATCTTGGTGGGATACAAAATGAGCTTTCGTTTTTATTTCTCGTACACAGAATTTCCTAATCAAACTCATAGAGACAGAAAATTTTGTGGAAAGTGTCCTGTTAATTATAATTTGAAAAATTGTCATGGTGTTTGGGACATGTGTCACCATTGTCTGCACTCTATTTTCCATACTGATTTTGATTAAAAGATTTCAATTGTCCTTTAGAGAATTAAACCCACCAAATAAGTTCTGGAATATGATGGATCTAAATCCTTCATAACTGGGAACATTTAGATGAAGTCATCTTGAACCCCTGGAATTTTCCTGAAAATAACAGGAGATATCAGCAGGCAGGACCTGAAGTCCAGCTTACAGAGGACATTTTCTCCACCATAGGAAACTTCCTGAACTGCAGAGAGAAGAGCCTCTGCATAGAGAGATTAATTTGGGTTGTTTTCTTTGTGTGTTGTACTTTTCTTGATTTTCAGGTTTTCTACCAACGTGAGTGTTTAGTCCCTGTGCTCCATCTATCCTTCCCCAACTCCAAAACAGATTTTAATGCACTTAAAACTGAAGGAAGAGTAACAAGTCTTTTGGAATGTTTTCCCCATCTAACTACTGCATTTGCTTGTTATGCTACATGGGAAACAAGAGTTTCTTGTAAGCCCGGAATCAGAGTAGTGGGAATTTCTGATATGATTCACGTGTGTATTGGCTCCAGCTGCAGCGTCCTTTGTCATTTCTCTCCAAGGCTGTGCCACTGAGTGACGTCCTTGTCTTTGGGCAATGCTCCTTTTTGCCCTGCTGTTTTCTGTTCCCATTGGAATTCTTGGTATTATTCCGTGCTCTAACTACCTCTTCTGCTTTCCTAACACAATCTTTCTCAACAGAGAATGTTTAGGATTAACTAATTGCAATCATTCAAATCTCTACTCTCTGATGCTGTTGATTAAAGTTTACAACGATTAGTTTGTTTACTAATTCAGATGCCTAATCACAGGAATGTTATGTGAGATTTGTTTAAATTTAGCTGTCTAAAGAACATTCTAGTTTTCTTATCTTCAGTTTGTCTTTTAGTGGAGACAAAGCCCATGGACCTTGAAGTCAAGTTGATTTGTGTTGACACCCTGCAATTGCCAAGTATCTCTGGAAAGATTCTTAGACGTGTTTCCCCATCCTTAGTATGGAAATAGGCTATGTTAGAATGAACTATTTGGGGACATGAAATGAAAACATATTCATGTAAAATGATTATCAAAGAATCTACTGTAAGGGTTACAAAACTGATGATTGTTATAGTTACTTTTGTTAACAGAAACTTAGGCACCACATCATTTGAAAACTTTCAAAGTGGAGCAAGTTTTGGGAGAGTAAAGATTCAAATCCAATACTTATAATTATTTTTAAATTGCTATCTTTTGAATCATTTCATTTTCTAATTAGCTAATGATAAATCTTATAACCCTCTGAATAAGTCCTCTCCAAGATTTTCCTTTTCTTGAGTCAGTCTGCCTAAATCGTGGAAAGAATCTCACTGGCTTAGATTTAGACATCTGACAAGCCTTTGGCCAAATATGAAATGAGCTAGAATGAGCAAGTTTGGAAAATGAATGAGTAATGGTAATGCATTGACAAAAGACAAAGATGTGGATGAAGGCGAAGGTAAATGAGACAAGGATAAAGGCCATATTTATATGTGTAGTAACCCATTAAAGCCATTTCTTTGACAATTCAGAAATTAGTTGCTGGCATTATTGCTACACTTTAAGATTTTGTATAGTATAATTACCTCTCAATATAATTTTGCAATTCATTATATATCTTTTTAGAAAAATTATTAAAAGAACAGGATTTGTGTAATCATTTATAAACAAAGTTGTCCATTTCAAATAAAATGCATAGTCCTTTAATAAAAATTGATATGCTTCAGGCTGGGTGTGGTGGCACCCACCTTTAGTCCTAGCACCCAGGAGGCTGAGGTAGGTGAAGCTCTACCAGATCAAGGCCAGCCTGGTCTGTACAGAATGTTTCAGGGCAGCCTAAACTTCAGGAAGACCCTGCATCAAAAAGTAACAAACAAACACAAACAAACAAACCATTAACAAGCTTCACCTTTTCTGATTTTTAATTTTCTTTTGGATGTAATAGGTAATTGGGTGGAGATAATTTAGATAATCTCCCACTCCTACATTCAGCAGGTCTTTGAAAATAATGTGCATCACAAGCCTACTGTA